GTATGACTGCGCTCCTTAGCTTTTTTCCTTGCATCTGCACCACTTGCGCCAGCAGCCTGGTCAGCCCCGTCATCGGGTCCATCCTTATCTTTGTGATGTTGGCCATCTTCTCGCCGAGCCTGGATGTCTTCCCATGTAGCTTCCCCCGTGTTCAGAAGCGGCGGTGGCGGTCCATTCAAGAGCAAATACTCCCGCAACGACTCCTTAACGAGTCCATGTTCGCTCAATTGCGTCCGGATACTCTGTGCCGTTCTCGCGAAGGAGTCAGGCATCGAGAATATCCGCGGTCCTGTCGGAGGTGGTGGCGGCGGTGGTGTCGGACCAGGCCCTGGCCCAGTGGACGACATGTTTCTCTTGCCCTTGCCCTTGCCCTTCTCTCTGGGAAGAGTCCTCGAGCGTGACCTCCCTCTGCTGTATGGGTCGACTGGGGTCATTGCCACAAGACTGATAGCTGGAATGAACCAACATGCTCCTACATAGTATCGCTGGTGTCGTAAGAGGAGGAGGAGGAGGAGGAGGAGGAGGAGGAGGAGGAGGAAGAGGAGGAGGAGGAGGAGGAGGAGGAGGAGGAGGAGCGGGAAAACGAGGAAGAGAGCAAGAGGAAATGGAGGGGAAGGATGGAACGAGGCGAGGGACCTAGACACCCGATGCCAAATTTCTTTATCACGTCGACCCCAAAGGGTCTCGACCCCTTCCCTGGGACCGGTGTTTCATCCCGAATCGATGTCTGCCGGTCCTGAGGCCCCGGCTGGGACCCCCAGAGGCCGAAAACACTCGGCGGAAACCCTCCCGTCGGGGGTCGACGCAGAAGGCGAGGAGGAGGAGGAGGAGGAGGAGGAGGAGGAGGAGGAGGAGCTGGGAAGGCCGCGGTCGGGGTCGCTCTCGGGCCCCGGGAGGGACCCCCCCCTGCGCGGCAGCGGCCAGTGACTCCGCCACCGAGCGCGTCGCCGCCGCGCCGAGCGCGCCGCGAGCGTGCGGGCGCAGCCCCGGGGCTCTGGCGCCTACGGCGTTCCAGCCGGGAGCGTGCGCACTGTAGGAGGAGGAGGAGGAGGAGGAGGAGGAGGAGGAGGAGGAGGAGGAGGAGCCCCGCTGGGCCCAGGGAGAGAGGGCGAGGGGGCTGGGAGGCAACTCCTGGTAGGTCTTCGCCAGAACGATTGGGGGCTACCAAGCCCGACTATAATAGAGGCCTCCCTTAGATGGGTCGGAGTGGATTGGGTCGGAGGATCGCGCCGCCTCGCCGATACATGGGCGATGCATCGGTGATGCACCGGCGACGCATCGTCGACGTCAGCGATGCATCGGCGACGTCGACGTGAAGCAAATCGGGCTCCACATCGAGCCGCATCGGCGATGCATCGCCGATGCGGCGCGATCCTCCGACCCCATCCACTCTGACCACATTTGGTAGGCCCAGATCTGAGGGGCCACTGATCCCAGGGAGGGATGGGGCACGGGGAGGGGAGGCACAAATGGGGGGGCCGATGGAGAGCTGTGGAGCCCCGCCCGGGGGCCCACGGGGGGAGGGCACCAGGAGGGGGTTGGGGTGGTCGGTGGCGAGCCGGGTGGGGGACGCGCGGAGGGGCGGGCCTTCCGAGAAGACCCGCCCCGGGCCTCGGGCCTTCTTGAAGGGGCCCCCGGACACACAAATAAATACACACAGATACAAGAATTCCCCATATCTCTCCATGTGTTCTGGGTTTTTGTCTTCCCCCCCCCACTTCCCATACTTTCCCATATTCTCTGGGTAAATTGGCGGTCTGTGTGCTTTTGCCCCTCCTGACTTCTGAAAAGTGCTCAGAGCCTGCCCCGGATGCAGAAGAGGCTCCTCCGACGGCGCGAAAGGCCGCCGCCGTCGCCGCCGTCGCCGTTTTTTCGAGGCCGGCGGCGCCGGCCGCGGGGCCTGCGCAGGACTCTCATCCGAAGACGCGAGGGCTGCCGAGAAGCCCCGCCGCCCTCCGAGGAGGCCCGCCCCCCTCTCGCCTCCCCCCTGGGCGCCCCGCCGAAATGAGACCAGCAGCTGCAGAACCAGGGGCGAAACAAACCCACCTCGCTTTTGGCCACCCTCGCTTCCAAGAGGTGCCAGAAGCGATGCCCAACCGCGGCCCGTGCTGGTCAGGCCGCCTGACGAGGAGGCGCGTGGTGTGACTCGGGTTTGCCGGGAGGCGAAAGCGGGGTAGGTGATTCACGCTCTCAAGAACCATACACTTGCGGAGCTCTGCGCGGATGTCGTGGCTTGGCGCTGGGTCTCCCCCTTCCGTGGTGCGCGGAGCGCGTCTACGGGCGCGGCGCCGGAAGCGCCGTCAGGTGGGCCCAGCGCCCATCCAAGACATCCCGCGCAGAGATCCGGAAGCTTGCTCGGCGGAGAGCGAGGGGGGGAAGTGAAAAGGAGGAGGTCTTCTCAGCAGACGGCGGGGCCTCTCAGAAGCACTCGCGCCTCGCGCCTTCTGAAACATTGTTTTATGTCGTATCCTCGGGGGACCTTGTCTGTCCCGTCGCGGTCCTGTCCGCGTCGAATCCGTGTCGAATCCATGTCGGACGCGTCGGATCCGTGTCGGATCCGTGTCGAATCCGCGCCGAATCCACGCCAAATCCGCGTCGAGTCCGCATCGCGCACGCGTCGGGCCCCCCAAAAGACACCCATTTTTGGGACAGGCGAGGTCCCCCGAAGATGCAACAGAAGTTGTTGTGTCTTCGGGGAAGGCTTAGCCAACTTCTCAGAAGGCCCGAGGCCTTCCGAGCCTTCTGAGAGGGCCCGCCCCCTCTGTGCCCCCCCCCAGGCTCGCCGCCGATCTATGCTTGCGTCGTTGTGCGTTCTTCGCAGGGGAAAACTCTGGGCCCGTCTACCCGCCAGTCGGAAGAAGTACAGGGCAGTTTTTGTTGTTTATATACATGGGATGTTTAAAAACATCGAATGCTTAATACATGACTAATACATGAATACATTCATGCACGAACTCATCATTGTTTTTAGTACTAAATCCCTGTATGTGTAATACATGCTCCGCACGCGGAGCATGCATTAAAAACGGCACTGTAGGTGGAAACATAAAGTAGGAAGGCGGAAAACGTAGACTGGGTTCGGGCCCGCTCACGGACGGGGGGGCGGGTTGGAGTAGGTGGAAAGATGAAGTAGGAAGCCGAACAACCAATAACAAAAGCATGCCGACTCTTGGCGCTTGAAGTGAATTGATATCTAAATGCCCCTAAAATAACTACGTACTTCGAACGACCCGCGTTTAAAAGCCGCTGGGCCAGACTAAAGGGGCCATGAAACCGGAGCAAGCCGGGTGGAGCCGGGGACTGGGCCGGATGAAGAGGGATTGGGCCGGACTTAGCGGCCTCAGCCAGATTATAGGCGGGCCTTCTGAGAGGGGGCGGGCCCTCTCAGAAGGCTCGGAAGGCGTCTGGCCTTCTGATGAGTTTTCTGAGACTTCAGCAAAGGCACAGAAAACCTTTCAGAAAGTGCGAGGGCTTCTGAGAAGCCCCGCCACCTGCTGAGAAGACCTCCTCCTTTTCACTTCCCCCCCTGGCTCGCCTCCGATAAGTGGGACTGGTCAGGCTTAGGTCACGGATACACCAGCGCCGATCCGGAGTTTAACATCCGAGCAGTTGTATTTTAAAGTAACCAGCCTCGATCTTACCCCTGTCCCTGAGATCGACGAGCGCAAGGCCATGACAACCTTAGGGATGTGCCTTCAGAAACTGAGAGGACCCTTAAGATCGGCACCGAGGAAATGAAACGCCAATTATTCGATGCCTCCTGGATGGGGTTTGAGTAAATGGGGTCGGAGGATCTCGCCGCACCGCTGATACATCGGCGATGCATCGTCGATGCATCGGCGTGGAGAGAATCGGGCTCCACCTCGATTCGCATCGCCGATGCATCGTCGACGCGGTGCGATCCTGCGACCCCATCTACTCCGACCCCATCTGGGAGGACTAGAATAACAGGGATAGGGGATCGGGATATGTTTCAGGCTGTTCATGAAGTAAGACGAAGCCAGGACGAGGATAACAACGGGTGAGGATGAATCGAGAACCTCTGAGATCCAGCGGCTCTGGAGGCTGTCTCGGGCGCCGCGGCCTTCTAAGAGAGTTCTGGAACGCTCTCAGAGCGTTCTGAAACGCTCAGGAACGAATGTCTCCTCGGTCTAGCCCCCTCCCGATCAGTGGTGGGCTGGTTTTTCACCGCCACCACCACAAGTAGGGGGGGGAGGGGGTCCTCCTCCTGAGCGAGCAACGACATATGTACATGTACGCCCTCCGCGATCTTGAGTGCACGAACGTCCTCGTTCAAATGCCCTCCAGGGGAAGCTAACCGCGTACGTGTACATATGTTGCTGGCCTCTGACCTCCTCCTCCTCCTCCTCCTCCTCCTCCTCCTCTTCGTCCTACTCCTCCTCCTCCTCCGCCTCCTTCCCCACTCCAACTCCTGGTGGTGGTGGTGGCCAACAGGCCCATCAAGAGAGGGGTGTGGCGGGGGGCGAGCGGAACCTCGCCTCGACAGGAGCCTGCCTCCCCGCGGCGGGCCCTGGGAGGGGGGGGGGGGGCGCACCGCGGAGCACGCCACGGGCACCGGCCCGCGCCCCGAAACTGCGGGCGAGGCTCCGCCTGCCTTCGAGCAGGAGGTCGACTACGGAATGGACTCGCCCCAAACTTCTGATGCCTCGTCGAGCACCTCCCCCTCCCCCTCTCCCCCTCCCCTCCCCCTCCCCCCTCCTCCTCCTCCTCTTCCTCCTCTCCTCCTCCTCCTCCCTTCCTCCTCCTCCTCCTCCTCCTCCTCCTCCTCCTCCTCCTCCTCCTCCTCCTCCTCCTCCTCCCCGTCTACGGGACATCTGTGGGATGCTCCCAGCTCTATGAAGCATTGCACGCTTGGTCTCGCACTCGACGGACATTACCTCGGGATGCGTCAGTGCCGCAGTCGACCTCCTGCTCGATCCAGGTGCCCTCGGGCGGAGGGGCCCAGGGACCTACGCGCGGCAACCAACGCCCGCCACGGCCTACACGAAGACGGGCCCCTCCTCGATGACGCGAACGGTGCAGCCCAGCACGTGGCGCCCGTCCAAGTTCGCCGCGGCCCTCGCCTTCGAGCGCTCCGCGTAGTCGAGGTACACGTGCCTGGAGGATCAGGGAGGCTGCAGAACCATCCACTCCCGGAGCTCCGCACGGATGTCTTGGATCGGCACCAGGGGCCCCCCTCCCTGGCGCGCGGAGCGAGCCAGGGGCGGCGCTGGAGGCGCCGCCAGGGAGATGGGCCCAGAGCAGGTACGAGACATCCGCACAGACCTCCGAACATTTACGTCTTGCAGTGTGTTCTTCTTTGGATGCCCCCTGGTGAGCTGCGTGATGGGGTCCACGCCAACTGTCAAATACTCGGGAGGCGTGCCGCGCTTCTCCAGCATCAAACGGATGTTGTCCTCCAGCACGTCCGAGTCGGCACCCCTGGCGTGGGGCCGCACCATCTACTGCCGTGCCTGCTGCCAGTTGACCCCATCTTTTGGCATGCTAGGAGAATGCACCTCATGGGAGGTCTTCGCAAATTCGACTAAACGATATGAAGCCATATCAGAAAGGCCATCAAGCCATATTAGCCCTGATTGGGCGCAGGATCAGGCCAGATCAAAGCGGAGTAATCGAGATTAGACAGAAGATGCCTCTCCCCCTCGTCGTCTTTGTCGGTCGCTCCTTGTAACCTTGCCGCTGGGCTCCTTCGCGTCGGTAAGCAAAAAGGGCTGAACATGATCGACCCACGAACCCGGAAAGGAATATAGAAATGTAACGCATGGCAACGTTTTCAAAGACACCTGATTGGGTGACGGGCAAATGCAATGCTAAGTGTATCGATCTTGATGTACCCTGCCGAGTGCTGTGCTGTGCTGCACAAGGCTGAATTGCGTTGTGTCATGCCGCGATTGTGCTCTATAGCGTCGTGGATCGAATCCTCCTTTGCACCCGAGTCCTGACCAAACTGATCTGGATCTTAAGCTCGAGCTGCCTGAACACAGAGTAGCTGCCCCAGAGCTACTTGACAGGGGGGCATGCCAGGAGGACGCGCCGCGGAACGTCTCAAGGGACGCGCCAAGCGACGTGCCTGGGGACGTGCCATGAGGACGCACCGCGGGACGTGCCAAGGGGACGCGCTACGGAGCGTGCCAATGGGTGTGCAACGGGATGTGCCAGGGGACGCGCCACGCGACGTGCCAGGGGGACTCGCCAAGGGACGCCCCACGGAACGCGCCAAGGAACGTGCCAGGTTGCAATGCTGAGTGTAACGATCTTGATGTACCGTGCCTAAGTCTGTGCTGTGCTGCGCCGTGCTGAATTGCGATGTGCCATGCCGCGATTGTGCTCTATAACGCTGTGGATCGAGTCCTCCTTTGCATCCAAGTCCTGACCGAACTGATCTGGATCTTAAGCTCGAGCTGCCTGAGCACATAGTAGCTGCCCCAGAGCTACTTGACAGGGGACATGCCAGGAGGACGCGCCGCGGAACGCCTCAAGGGACGCGCCGAGCGACGTGCCAGGGGACGTGCCATGGGGACGCACCGCGGGACGTGCCAGGCGTTTCGATCGAGACACCCTGCCAAAATTCAAGGAACTCCTAGAAAAACAAACGAATTAGTCGAGAAATCCTCGAAATTCATGCGCGCGGGACGCGGCACGCGCGAGACATCATCGGAATTCCTGCGCGCGGGGCGCTTTTCTGCGTCGCGGTCGGCTCTGCAAAACCAGCGTTTCGCTCGAGACATCCTCAACACACGAAAGAGTGGCCCGCACCCTGTGATTTATCGATCGGGATTTCAAAAACAAGCGTTCCACCTGAGACATCCTCAAATATTAATCCGCCGGCCCACCTCGACCTCGACATTCATCAAGGAAAGAATCCGCCGGCCAACCTCAGTTGAGGCACCAGGGACAGGTTAACCACACTAAAAGAGAACCCTGGGCCCACGCCCTTTCCGGGAAAAATGGTAATGAGGAGGAGGAGGAGAAGCAGGAGGACGAAGAGGAGGAGGAGGAGGAGGCGGAGGCTCACGTCACAATCCCAGTTGATCAAAAGTTTTCCAATGTCAAATGAGGACGAGGAGGCGGAGGAGGACGAGGAGACTCACGCTACGATCCCAGTTGACCGAAGCTTTCCTGTCGTCAGAGAGGAGGAGGGAGAGAAGGAGGAAGAGGACAAGGAGGCTGACGCTACGATCTTGAAGAGGAGAGGGAGGCGGAGGAGAAGGAGGAAGAGGAGGAAGACCAGCAGCAGCAGGAGCAGCAGCAGCAGCAGGAGGAGGCGAAGGAGGAGGAAGAGGGGGGAGAGGAAGAAAAGGAGGAGGAGGATGAGAAAAAAAGGCGAGGAGGAGGACGAGGAGGAGGAGGAGGAGGAGGCGTGGGAGGAGGGTCAGGAGGCGGTGCCTCGGCAAGCACTCCACGCGAAGCCGGAACCGCCTGGAGCGCTCGGCGGCCGCCTCCGCCTCGGACAGCGCCGGCAGGCTGGGGGACTTCGCCAGCCGGCTGCCGATCTCCTGCGGCAGCGGGCGCCCGCGCCTCCCTGACCCAGATCCGAGCATCGTTTAATTTGGATGCTCGTTCTGGGGACCTTCCTGGAGCCACTCGCTCCACTCGTGCGTCGAAGCTGCGTCGAACGTCAGTCGATTTGGGTCGACCCTGAGTCGAACCTGAGTCGAACCTGAGTCCAACCTGAGCCGAACCTGAGCCGAACTTGAGTCGAACCTGAGTCGAACTTGAGTCGAACTGGGGTCGAACAGATCCGTCAGGTGGGCCCCAGGAAGGTCCCCAAAACGAGCATCGCTTAATGACGGTAGGCGATTCAGGAAAGAATTGCGGGGCGACGGCTACAGAAGCACGCAGTACCCCGCAGTTGCGGGCAGGAGTAAGGGGGGGCGGTCGGGTCGTCGGCAGCCTGCAATGCTCGGAATTTTTGGAGCGGATTCTATAACGAGCCCGCCGCAGGCGCAGCAATTTTCGACAAAACACTCTGGGTGTGTCGCAAGGTTGGTCGCCGGATAAGTCGCGGCGTGGGTCGCGGGGAGGTCGCGGGCGAGGACGACGATGACGACAACAACAGCCACTTACCTTCATGCACCATGCTTCATCATGCCACACTCATCCATCATGATACCACCCCCTCTTAGGGGAAATAAGCGAACAAAAGGCCGATACACCCACACCTGGATCTCCAGCCCAAGGCGGTCAGGCCGCCGCGACTCCCGAGGCACACTCCCACTTTCAGCTCGCACGGCGCATAACAAAATCAGTGCGACCATGGGGAGCGGTGAGGATTCAAAACACGAAACATTCGAATCCCAGGGGAGGGGAAATCTGAAGAACCATACGTGAAGCGCTAAGGATTCGAGCCCCAATCGAAGGAAGCATGTAAAAACAGTAACACACACAGAATTCCAGCGCGTCGAGGGGCAATATTTAGGATCATACATACATAACACACAAAAACGATTCGATCCCCAGAAGAGGGGCGAATTATGGGAACATGCACAAAGCACAGAAGACTCGATCCCCAGGAGACAAGCTGTGAAGCCTACTGGGGCGAGGTCTATGAGGGCGAAGCCTGCGGGAGGCCGGAAACCACTCCCCGAGCAGATATCTGAGTACAGAAACGTGTCTCTTGTGGCTTCCTGGGGCCTCCTGCTGGGAGCGGGGGGGGGGGCGCAAAGCGCTCCCCGAACACATCATTATCCCAATGCAGCAAAGCGTTCCCTGAGGCCTACAAGGGTCTCCTGGGGGCGGAGGGGCCGAAAAGCGCTCCCCGAACACAGATCCCAATGCAGAAGGGCATCTCCTGGGGCCCCTCTGGGAGCAGGGGCCGAATATTACCAGCCTGGAACATATTCCTATCCCTATGCTGGGCACCTCCTCATCACGATGCCAATCTTATGGATTCCCTTATTTTTTGAGGGCGAATCCTTAAGATTGTCATCGCCTTTTGGCGTGTCAATCTTAGGGATAGGGATGAGGCTGGTAAGAATAGCGCTCCCCGAGCACATATCCAATCCAGGAGATGCATCCTGGGGCCTCCCTGGGGCGGGAGGGCCGAGAGCCTCGAACAGATGTCTCGGGAGCGTCCTGCCTCCTGGGGCCTCTGCAGGTAGCGGCAAGACTGCTCTGAAGGACCCCCTCCTCCTCCTCCTCCTCCTCCTCCTCCTCCTCCTCCTCCTGCCCCCCCTCCTCCTCCTCCTCCTCCTCCTCCTCCTTCTCCTCCGAATTGCAAGAAAGTCTCAGGCGAAACGGCCATCCCGACATCTGCGAATAGCAGCAACAATGCTCTGAGGGACCCGCCTGTGGTGCTGAATTGGACTGAAGTCTCGAGCGACAAGGCCGTGCCGACATCCGCGAGTAGCAGCAGCCTGGCTCTGCAGGACCCCCAAGCACTGCCAAGTCGCGAGGGAGTCTCAAGCGACACGGCCGCTCCGACAGCCGCAAGCAGCGGCAGGACTGCTCCGAAGGACCCGCCTGTGGTGCCAAACTGCGAGGAAGTCTCAGGCCTCGGTCAGGCCCTACAGAGGGATTTTGGATCGGGGGCGAGGCGGTAACTGTTCTCCTGAGCCCCCTCCTGTTCTCTCAGGACATGAGAGAACAGGCTTTGTTCTGCCCTCCCCCTATTCATGGCGAGAACTGAGGGGCAACGATTGGGGGAGCAGCTCAGGGGGGGAAGCATGGAGCTTGCACTGGCGATGCATCGCCGACAGATCGGCGATAGGCCGCCGAGTGCGCAGCCGCAGCCGCGTGCTCCTGGGCAGGGGGCAGGGTCTCGGGCCCACGCTCGCGACGAATGGACGTGCTGGCGGGTCGGTGCACGCGCCCCCCCCCGAGCTGCACCGCCCCACTCGTTCGAGCTCCCTCTGCCACGATGGCGTGTCTCTAAGACGGCCCACACTCGCGACGAATGGACGCGTTGGCGGGTCGGTGCGTGCCCCCCCTGAGCTGCACCCCCCCACTCGTTCGAGCTCCCTTTTCCATGATAGCTGATGGGGCCCTGGGACACACAAATAAATAGGTACAAATAACCAGATTCCCCATATGTTCCGATATGTTCTGGGATTTTTGTCTCCCCCCCCCCACTTCCCATACTTACCCATATTTTACGGGGAGTGGACGATGAATTGTGTCTGTGTGCTTTTTCTGTTCCCTCTTGAACAGCGTTTCTCCAAGCAAGGGCTCTGCCACTGGCGAAACGGGACAGCAGAAACTCAGGTGTTCCTAGAAGTACCCCTGGCCCAAGGTGCCCCCAGCTTTTCGCTCCATTTTGGAGCCCCTGGGGCCCTCTGGGCCTCGTGAGGGGTGCCCTGGAGGCCGTCTTGGCCACCCCGAGAATCCTGGGTGTACCTTGGGCCAGGGGTACTTTTAGCAACACCCGAGAAACATCTCACGAGGGGGACGCGGAGCCCTGGACCGCCTGGTCCGGCACGGCCCGGCAGCGGTTTCGGCTCGGGCTTCCTGGCCTTTGTCTTTCAGCAGGGCTGGACCCAAACGGTGCTCTTCGTTTTCCTTATGTTTTCGTTTCCCATCGCTTTTTTGTTTCGAATCCGCCTTTATACCTCAAAACGAAGTCGAAGCAAAACAAAAACGGCCCACGGAATCGCCAAACACACCGTTTGGGTCCAGCCCAGCCTATGAAGGCTCTGTGCTCTCGGGCCCAGTGCTGGCTACATCTGCGGCCTGGACGGCCTCGACCCCTGAAACAAAAAAGCTGAGGTCCACATGCCAATGCTCTCTCCCCTGCCCCGGCTGCGTCTTTCGTGCGTTCCATTCGGGGATGGACAGACCCCCCTTCAGTACAACGTGGTTTAGGGAAAACGACCCGAGGCCAAACCTGGCGGGCGCGAGCCTTGAAAATAACGGCCACGGCGCCCTCTCGAGAACCAAAAACGGACAATTCACTAATCGACGTGTCACTGTTGGGGGTTCTGTCCACCCCCGATCCATAGGAACCCTTGTAGGAATGCACGTTCGACCTCCTGCTCCTGCCATGAGGGTGCTTTGCTGGGGCAACTCGCTAATCGCGACAGCGCCAGGTGCCGGCCCCGCAACCCCTCCCCCTCGAGGTGACTAACGTCACGACTCGCGCCGGCGCACTCTGGGAAGTACTCATTCCGCAGCACTCCCAGACGGCGCCGGCGCGAATCGTGAGGTTACGGGCCTACTCCCCCATCCCCTCAACAGCGCTTCGCGGTGCAACCACAGCTGAAGCCGAAACCAAATCTGAAATGCGCAGAGACAGGGACGTAGCCCACCTTTATGCTGCATCTTCAGGGGACTTTGGTTGTCCCGTCGCGCCAGACGTCCGAGGCGCATCCGCGTCGAATCCATGTCCAACGCGTCGGACCCGTGTCGAACCCACGTCGAATTCACGTGTAGCCCGCGCCGCACCCACCCCGTGTTACAGTCGAAGGCTGCCATCTATCAGGGGGACGTAAGACCTGGGTACAGGGGACTCGGAAATCCCCGACGAGATCGTCAACAAAAATGACGAGACCGAGCCTGCATTCTGACGAGGCCTCCCGCTGCAGACATCCCACGAGACGCCTCCTCGCCAAAATCCGAGGCGCGGCCGTCAAAAAACGATGGCGAACCCGAGTCCTGGCAAACCCGGGCCTTACGCTCCCCCGAATCTACACCCTGCGAAATGCTTAAGAAATCATGGGTTAAGAAACCCATAGTCTCAGGACTTGAATAAAAACCCATAACTTCTATCAAAATCTTGGGATCTACATGGAAACGTTGAGAATAATCGAGACCCTGGCCGAAAACTTAAGTTTTCTTAAGCATCGCCTAAGGTGTACAGGACGGGCAAGGGCCCCCAAAGACTCCAAGGGCCCGCCCTGCAGGCTTAAGGGCCCCCCAAGACTCCAAGGCCCGCGCGCTGGCACCACCGCTCCCCCGCCGGGCGTCCTGCGCGTCGCAGCGCCACTGGATCTGCCGCTGCGTGGCCCTGCCCGCGCGGCGGAGAGGAGGGGGGCAGGGGGCAAAAAAAAAAAAAAAAAAAAAAAGGACGGCTGCGTCCGACAGGACACCGAGCCGATAGCGATAGCGATAGGGGCAGGGGGCCGCACCCGCGCCCCCCCCCCGAGCAGAAACGAGAGCGGACGAGGACGGAGGAGCCCCGGCTAGGACGGCACCAACTATACACCAACACCGATCCTGGCCCAGGATAGCCCTGGGCCCAGGATCGGTGTATACGCCCTCCCTGCCTTGCGCAAGAAGGCATATACACCGATCCTGGGCCCAGGGTGATCCTGGGCCAGGATCGGTGTTGGTGTATACTTAGTGCCCTCCGACCGGCACCGGTCCTTGCCCCTCGGGGATCTTCTGCCCCGGGTCAATCAAGACCTGGGTCAGCAGGAAACCAAACAACTGCAGTGCAGGGACAAAGAAAGCTGCAACGCAGGGGTCTTCGCAGACCCGGGCCAGCCAATGTGCGCGGCCGCCTCGCGGCTCGCGAACCCGGGTCAGCCAGAGGGGGTCAGGATCCTGCAGGATCCGGTGCCCTGGCTGACCCCCGTTTGCACTAACCCCCGTGTCTCGAGCCCCGAGCCCAGTCCGCAGCCCCGGCCCCGGCCCTGGCCCAGGTCCCGGCCCAGGTCCCAGCTCCAGCCGCCCTGGCCCTGGCCCTGGCACCGGCTCCCAGGCCCTGGCACTGGCCTCCCCCCTTCGGGTTTCACTTCCCAGACGCCCACCCCCGATGAAACAGACGGCCCTCCTCTTCTTCCTTCTTCTCCTCTTGCTCCTTTTCCTCCTCCTGTTTCTCCTTCCTCTTTTTCTTTCTTTCTCCTCCTTTTCCTTCCCTCCTCCTGCTGCTCCTTTGCCTCCTTTTCGCCCTCGGTTTATCATCCTTGTCCTCCTCCTCTTCATCTTTCTCCTTCTTCCACACATCATCCTCCTTTTCCTCTTCGTCCAATTCCTATTCCTCCTCCCTCTCCTCCTCCTCCTCGTCCTCCTCCACTTCCTCGTCGTCGTCGTCCTCCTCCTCCTCCTCCTCCTGTTTTTCTTCTTCCTCCTCCTCTTCACCCATCCCCATCCCCTCTTCGTCCTCGTCGTCCCCGTCGTTTTCCTCCTCCTCCTTTCCCTCCTGCTCCGCCGCCTCCTCGTCGTCGTCGTCGTCCTTCTGAATCGGCGGTAATGGCCGCAAGGCCTTTACAATCCAGGCCGAGCACAAGCTCAACACCCGAAGCTTGCAGCCCGTCGCGTTGGCACTGCGCGGCGTACGCACCGAGCGGGCATTCGATCACCTTGTGGAGCGCACTGGTGTGCCAGACCGTCATCGGTGGATGAGATCGCGGCAAGCAGCTCACTTGTGAAACTGTTTGATGGCGCCGTCCTGAGCGGTCCACACTGCCAACCCAACAGATGGCAGAGGATCGTGCCAGTGAAGGGGATGGCGCTGGTGCTGAGGATGTAGTGCCCATGCGCAGAAATCCCGCACCGCACAACACACGACCTGCGCGCGGGCACCGTATTTGTGTTGCTTGCGGAACGCCGCGCCAGAGTGGATGTCCAGCTTCATTGCGCACCTCGCGGCAGGGTAGTAGGCCTCAGTGAGTCAGCTTGCACCCGCCTGACGAAGTGTTGCGTCTGCGAATGTAACCGCACGTGGGCACTGCTGCGTGGCGCTGCAGTGCGACCACGTAGATACGCAAGTCAATCTATGCGGTGAGGGGTGAGGGTGAAAGTCAGGGCCATGAGGACGCCGAGGAGCAGCTGAGCCAGGCCACTGGGTTCGAGCTCTGAGCTGGCTCTTCCAACGAGCTCAGCCACGCCGATTGGCATGACTTGAGGGCTTGTCAATGGTCGGTCTGATACAGTTCGTACCCGCCGTCGCTTGTCGGCGACTGTCGGGCTCCACAGCACGCGAATGCCCCTTCGAAGATGTCCAACTCGCCCTTGCCGAAGACGTCCTTCGCACAATTGAAAAGCTCGGCTTCCCCAGGGGGGCTCAATCACCTTGATGTCGTCGGCGTGTTTGGTAGCTGGGAGACACAGTTTGCCAACGCGGCGCTCGGCGGTGAACTCGTTGTCGTCGAGTACGGGGGCGGCTTGGTACGCGCCGTTGGTGGCCTTGGTGATCTGATGGGCCAGCACATCTGCGCGAACTTGCGGACGGCCCCTCGGTGCTCCATGTGGGCGTACTTCAAGGGCGCGGTCAAAATCCTCGCGCCTTCGATTATGTGATGCACTGCCGTGGTGCCAGGGAGAGCACGAAGTTCGCTTCGCGCCCCCGCTCGCCCGCGGCCTCTGCGAGACCTGCGTATCTCGCGCCTTCCCTTGCGGAAGGCGTGCCTTCTTGCATCCCGCACGTCGATCGACCTCTCTCGACGGGCAACCTCAGTGACGACCGCTCGACGCGGGCGCCGCGATGAAGCGCCGGCGCAGGTGGCGATGAGATCGGCGCCGGCATCCTTGAACCCCCCTTCTGAATGGAGACTTCTTCTGCGTCCGCTTCAATTTGCTTGCCTATCCGCGGCCCCTGTCTCCGCGGCGCGGTTTCCGGGGGGGGGCAGTCGCGGAGCGCATCCGCGGCTGCAGCCGCAGCGTGCTCTTGCTCGCGAGGGGCGTTTAGGTCGGCGTCGCGTTCGAGCGCGGCCTTCGACCTTGGGGCGTCGACGCTAAGTCGCGCTCAGTGGCCGTCAGGCACTGCGTGGTCGAGGACCAACTTGCGCATGCTATCGGGTGCCAACATCTCGACATCAACTCTTACTTGGTCGCCAACGTCAATGGCGTCCGCTGGTATCAGATGCTCCAAATCGGTCAAGTAGTGGGGATTGGTGGATGTTACGGGGCAGGTCGTGGCCCCCCGTCCCCAGAATCGCCCCGCGCGTCACTGCGCCCGCCGCAGGGGCGAGCAGCATGGCGATCTCTTGGTCAGCTGTCAGGAGCGCCCACCGGGCCGAGTCGACGAGGTACGCGTCGCTCGAAGCGCCCTCGTGGGACCTTTCCCGGACGGTCGCGAGCCGCCCGTCGTCGTGGGCCGGCTCGTCGCGGGGGCGCGGCAGCCTCGGAGGCGTCGGCGCCGCCGCCCCGCGCGTCCTCCACTCGGAGTCTATCCGCCGGGAGACCTCCCAAAAGGCGGGCACTAGAGTTCCCGACGACAAGATCGCGCAATTTGCAGCGATCGATGATTACAAGCCCATCGAGGCTGAGTCGACCAGCCTCGGCGCCCCGCTAGGCTTCGACCTCGCGATGGCCCACTCTCCTCCAGACCATTCTCCGGGCAAACAGGTTTCGCGCACGATGTGCTCCCAGCGAAGGGGGGCGGGGCGGCCCGCGAGGGGCGGGCCAAGGGCGGGGCCGAGGGCGGGGCCGAGGGCGGGCCCTTGCACAGCCTCCGATGGGGGCAACAGCTGCTGACGGTGTCTGTTCTGGGTCTCCGCCTCCGCCCGATCGGCGCGGGCGCGCAGCTGCGCGCGGCGGGCCGGGGCTCCGCCGGGCGTGCGCCGCGCGCTCGCAGTCGTCAGTGACCGCGGATATAAGCGCCCGCTCGGCGACTCCTGAAGCAGGATTGCCCGCTGGCCAGCGGATCCGCGCATCGCAGCCCCCTGGGGGGATCAGCTCGCGCCCGCCCATGTCCAAAATCGCGCGCGCGGGCCCGTGCTGCGCAGCCCTAGTAGCCCAGGTCGGTCGCGACCTGAACCTCGCGCGATAGGCGACGCGAAGCCGCGGAGCGCGGCGCGGCCCTGATCATCCATGACAGCGACGGACGCGCGCGCCCAATAGGTTGGCTCCTCCCGTTGCTAGGAATTGCCGTGGCTGGCGCCTTGTTTCGACGGCGCGCCGGCACTGCTGACGCGCGCGCGCGTCTCTCCCGCGAGGCTGGCCCACCCGCTCCTGCATCGGACTCCCTTGAACTGTCGTTGGCACCTCATGCGTGTTTCCAGGCGGGCCCTCAAAGGGCCATGTGTGCGAATGATATAGAAATCTGTAGAAAACTGCCAGGGGCGAAGGGGCGCGGTGATCAGGGCCCAGGGGGTCCAGAGCCAAGGAGGGGGACTGGGCCCAGGGCCGGGGCAGGGGGGCTGAAGCTCGGACCAGGAGCCAGAGGTCCGGTTTCGAACCGCGAAGATACAAGGTCCAGGGCGAGGGGGCGGGGTGGGGGGGGGGGGTGCGAGGGGAGGCGGGCCGCAGCCAGGGGGCGGGGGCGAGGGGGCGGGAAAAAAGCAGGCCCACGGGCAGGGGGGCGACGACGAAGCGCGAACCACGAAAATAAAGAAGCCGGGGCGAAGGGGGCCGAGGCCAGGGCCAGGGGGCGCCAGAGCCAAGGAGTGAGGCTGCGTCCAGGGCAAGGACAAGAGGACGGAGGCGAGGGGGCCTGGGGAAGCGGGCCAGAGCCAGGAGGGCGACGACGAACCACGAACCACGACAATTATTAAATAAAGGGTCCGGGGCGATGGGGGGCCGGGGCCATAGCCAGGGGGCGCCAGAGCGCCAGGGCAGGAGGACTGGGGCTCGGACCAGGAGCCAGAGGTCCGGGCTGGGGCGAGGAGCCCAGGGGAACGAGGGGCAGGGGGGCGACCACGAAAACAACGCGGTCCGAGAACACAACTGTGCAAGACAATGTGCAGCGTTGATCCCTGTCGGCTGCCGATGGCGTCCGCGGGCGGCGGGCCTCCGCCGAGCGCGGGCGCCGGGCGCGCCGCGCGCGGGCGGCGGCGTGCCGGGGCCGAGCTTCTCTCGGCCGCGAAAGACCGCTGCCCCCCGCGCTCGCGAGGGCCGCCTAACAGGCCTGCCAGCGGCCGCGGGGGGCCGCGGCGTCCACGCGCGGGCGGCGCAGCCCAAGAGCTGGACGGCCTGTCTTCGCGCCGCGGGATGCAAGGGCGGGGCGCCTCGGCGGGGCGCTGGGCAGGGCGCGGCGCTGGGCGCGGGGCGTCGCCGTCGGCCACCCCCCGCGCCGCGCCCCCCCCCCCCCTCCTGAAGCTTCGCCCGCGCGACCGGCGCGGA